GTTATTTTTATATTATTTCTGGATATTCCTCTCTGGAGAATCTCCCCTATCCGTACATACCCCACTTATACGGAAATTCGGTTTTTTACTGCCAAAGTAATCGTAATCGTGCCCCATAGTACATATCAATATTATAATCGGAATTTTATATGTGTGTATATACATATGTATATTTAACTTCACATACTGTATGTATCAAACTACAATAATTGTTTAGTCCACTCATTTATTTATACTATGTGAACTTAGTACCGTAGTAAATAAAAAATTAGCCTGCTTTAGCTTTAATATAATTTTATACAAACGTTTTTTTTTACTATTTTTCAGTTGGGTCTAAAGAAACTTTTGTTTACCACACAATTCTAACTGCGACATTGTTTTAATATATTTAGTTTTCTATACCATAAACTTAGAGATCACTCACCTTATGAAATTAGTCAATATATTGGTTTGGAATTCCAACTGATTTTAACACTTTTATCAAGAAATAAAAAAATCAAAATGTCTCGTATTTGTTTGCGTTTAACTCAGATGTTGTGCACAAACAAAGAAAAATTACGAAATCGAATATTTCTTGCTCTATTCGCTGTTCGTCATTTCCTTTGTTTGTATTTGATTCTCTTCTCTACTCCTAGATGAAGCAGTAAGCACTTTCGAATTCGTTTCGAATTGATATGGCCAGAATATATTTTCACTTTTCATTTAAAATTACGATATTTTTTATTCCAGAGTTAATGGAAACACCTATGTATGTATATACATTGCTTTAAAATAATCGCTGGTTAATAAACTATATAAATATGTTTATACATTTATATTCTTTATTTGCTTTGTGGGACATACTTGTTATGAATAATGCAAAATAGTGGAGAGATTTATTATATATACAATTCGGAATAGTTTTTATTTAAAAATATTTTTAAAAAAGTTTGTTACAGAACTTAACTTTCCCAAATCGTATTTTCATTCGCCATAAATTAATTTTTAAAGTATGTATGTCAATATTTTATCTGGTAGCACATATAATAACGAAAAACGTAAAAGCATAGAGCAAAAAACAAATGATGTTTAAAAACGACAAAACATAATATTAAAAATACTCAAAAAGTAATGACGCAGTTAAATACGACAAACTGCAATCAAACTAACTCTTGTCAATGTATTTTCAGCCAAATTAATTACCTCTTCCCTGCAAATAGTTTTCTGCTTTCACTTTTATAAATTAACACAATAGCAATGTTTACTAATTGAGTTTATTTGGCACAACTAAATTGACGGGATATGATTATAATATATTCTGTCCACTTCACAAAAAATAAGTACATTACATATGTATATACTAAAATGCTGTTTATACGTCGCGTGTACACAAGCTTTTTTTATTGCCAACTAGCTTTAGAATTTTATTGCCACTATATCATAGGCAATATGAGCGCAGTTATGCATTTAAAAGCAACTCAAGCACGAAAAGGTTAAAAATAAATCAATTTTATATAAATTTTAACATATATTTTTATTCATAATTATATTTTTTGACTATGTTGTAGATAATTTAATATTTATTATCGAAATATTTATTTTCAATCAAGTGTAAAAACATCACTGAATAATGAAATGTAATAGATTTTATGACTGTCACTTACAGAATAGCAAAATCGTCTCAAGTCTCAAAAATTGTCTCTAACTTAAAATTTCAATTTTTTAGACTTGAGACCGTATCACAGTACAGAATCGCACGGTAAATTTACGTTTTACCAGAGACTTACCAAGGCCGAACTCAGAAATCTATCTGAAACTAATTTACGTACGAATCCCGCAATGGTAATTCGCCCCCTTCTTATCTGGATCATGGATAGAAAAATTTGAGGAACGTGGCTGCAGATGACGTAGCGATATCTTGGATACCGGGTCTAAGGTATCTCGGGGTTGTAACTAATATGCCCACTGAAGAAAGGGCGCGGAAGGAATCGATTGCTCTTTACCACTATAAAGCAGTTATTGTCAAAAGATGTGGCCTCTCACCAAATGATGACATTTGATAAACATTTGAACGGATTCAACTGTAGACTACGAATCCCTAAAACTACAATAATTAATACAGTCACTCAGTTGAATTGGTGTGAATAGATTGTACCGTTTAAATAGATTTGAGATGAGTCTAAAGCACAGTCACTACATGACATATCAATAAGTATTGTTGAAAAGAGAATGGGGGTATTCTCTTGCTCTTGCAAAACCCTTGCATGGTGCACGAATTGCAGATATTTCCTCTTGGTGCACCGGCACAACAACAACCACACGCATAAAATTACTTGCAATGGCTGTAAAATATGTCAGACCAAAACCTAAGTATATTTTCGTGCCGTCATATATCACTAGATTCTCTTTGCCTTGCATTTTCGGTATAGGATTTTTGCATTTTGTGACATCGTGCAATCTGGCAAGAGCAAGAGAATCCCCCTATTGATAGGTGTCAGTGAAAACTCATCGAAAACAAATTGTCGGTTAGAACGATTTACCGCAAGATAAAAAACAAATTGTTGGCTATTTTTATTGCAAAGTATTATTCCATCACTAAAAGTCGATAATTTGACTTTGAACCGATAAAGTGAAAACTAAATGAAAATATCACTGATTGTTCACAGTTTTGGATATTTGGCACTTTTAAAATAACATTTATGGCGGAAAAATTACCGGCTAACCACCAGTCTAAACCCTTTCCAGGTAACAATTGGCAAGAAACAAGTCCAAAATATTCAAACAATATAACTTCAAATATAATTTAGCGAATTGGTTTTATACTCAGGATCACTTACTCCTGGCTGGAATGATCCACCCCTTTTGAATAACGTAACTCAACCACCTGGACGTAATCGATTGAATCTCAATAGGAGGATAGCATTTCCAGTGAATTGCACATCTAGTTCCATATCAGTCAATAGAACTATAGTGTCTACAAGTTTGGGGCAAGGAAAAACATCCGCAGTAGGCTTCCATCCACCTCCTTCAACAGGAACACCAACGGTAAAAATGCAAAGATTTAATGAAAAAAATACTGAAAAACTTCCAGATGATACCGATAGCGTAAATAATCACCATGACAGGTTTGTACTGTAGAAAGTAATGTATTGAAACTCGAAGCTATAAATGTTTCTTTTTTATTTCAGGAATATTCAATAAAAAATATCTACCTTTTACTGTAGAACCGCATAAGATCATCCGAATTTTTAATTTTTTCCCCCGATATTAACTTTTTACATCATTGCATATTTCAGAGGTTTTAATCCGGGTTAGATAACCAATCCATTATACACATAGGTATATAACAGTATTGATAGTCACCTAATCAAGATATATATGTATATATAATATAAATTAGTAGTAGAGAGAAATAAATAGTTCATTCTTTCTAGCGATAAGTTAAATTTAGGTACTTTAATAAAACTTAGCACACATGATACTTGGTCCCCAAAAAAGTTTGGTAGTTCATATGGGCGAAATTCGGCGACGATAATCGAGACACTATATGTTGCTATAACTTAGTCAGATATCAACTTACAAAAAAAGTATCTTGGTACAGGACATTAAAGTGTGGATGGATATCTATGGTTTAAAGTATTTTAAGTTGACGTGACCCTGCCTCTAATAGGTCTAAAGCATTAATCACAGAAAAGACCAAAACTAAATCGCCCAAAGTTTCTGAAAACAAGTCAGTTTGGCATCTCCTCATACATTGTAATGAAATCGATTGATAACTACGTCCTTTTCCTTTATAACTTATTTTTAATAATTCACTAAATAAATATCTCAAAAGCATTAAATTTCACATCTTAGATATTAGGATGTATTGCATAGGACTTATGGTAATAATTGGACATGTAATTTTATACCTCAGGAAATAATACATTGTTAAACCACGTTTACTAATAAAATATCACAATTTTAAATTTATTTTTGTTTATTTAACAAATTTACGCCAATCGGCAATATACAACAGTTACTTTTATATGTAAAAGAAAAAAGAGAAAAAAAAAATAATAAGGGCAATTGTATTACAGTGATCAAATGAATGGTATGGAAGGAGTTTCCATTCCTTTACTTTATGATATATAAATCAAACAAGGTAAGTATGTTATTATTTAAAAAGGGAATCATGAATTCTGAAACCCACGGATTTCGGATATGTGGACCTCAGTGTCTATATCCTACCTTATACAGAAAATACCGATCAGTTTTTATATATGTATATTAATGAAATATGATATTGTCCCCTAATGTAAAAAATGGGTAAAAATCACGTCAATAGTTCCCTCAGCCCTTATTACTCAAATAAACTATTTTCGAACTTCCGATTTGCGGTCAATAATGAAGTTATCTTAATGAAATTTAAAAAGCGCCCTTATTTCTAAAATGGATAAGATCTAGTCACTGCCACCCCTAGCGCCCATATACCTAACATAAGAATTTCAAACTTCCAATTCTTGCAGAGATTAAACTGAATATATGGCCGATATTTGAACTATCTGCCTAAAATTGCTATCAGTATACTTGAGTATTGTTAAAAGTTAATACAATAAGTTTAGGCCTTTCTCTAAGATCAATCTACTCGATATAGTGATTTCTGGCTTTCCAACTGGCTTTAAATTTTAGTGTTAGTGGTATTTTATTCCTCTGTACCCATGTTTTCTTCTTTTCGCTATTTGGCGTGAAATCGATATACCATTTGCAGATAGGTCTTCTTTTTCCCTGCTTCCACGGGCGGGTAATGTATCGGAAACCTTCTAAGCTGGAATGTTCTCTTCCAACCGGATAATATAGCCTGATCAGTTCGTTATTATATTATTATATACCCACATAAAAAATTGGCAACGGCAATGAAAATAGATTTGACAGCTAGTATACAATAAACTTTTGCGTAAATAACGCAGTGGCAGGGCTGGGGGGTGATGGAAGCCAAGAATTATATATTTTTTGAAACATCTGTTGACGCGAGATGTTTAATGGATGTAAGTCTTATAAATAAATTAATTCGTTTTGCGTTTCATTTCTTTTGTTCTAATAAATATTAAATGATTTATAAATCAATATTGACAAGTAGTTTGTGTCATAAAGTTGAAAGCAAGTTCTTGATCGTGTAATTGCAGCGTAAGTGGTTTTAGTTTCATTTTACATATTTAGAAGTACTGTGATCGCTTTGTAATTTATATATAATGCCTACAATGCACCTCTGACATTTCGAATTCATATAACGCGGCTATATTTTAAAAGTTTGTATTTTAAGCATTTATAACACAGGTTAAACATAAAAAGTGCGTAATAATCATGTCAAATGTTGATGTTCATTGCGATAATGGTGCCGTGCGAATAATAGTTCGTGAAAGACCAGTACGAGATGCACAAGGATTAGAGGAGGACTCTTCAAGTGTAATTTCATACCTAGAAAGCACTCCAAATGTATGAATATTCATTAGAAATATAATAAATTTATTAATCAATTGTTACACTTAGGTACTTTTTGCGGACGGAAGACCATTTACTTTTGATAAGGTTCTAGGCCCAAATGCTTCACAGGAACAGTTATTCCTTGATGTTAGTTTCTTAGTTGAAAAAGTAAAACAAGGTTACAATTGTACAGCTTTAGCTTATGGGCAAACTGGTACTGGTAAATCTTATTCGATGGGACTTAATTCCAACGTCTGTATGCCAATATCTGATTATTGAACGTGATTTATTCAATGAACTTTTACAGGCTTGTGACGCAGAGTTTGTAGGAATTATTCCAAGATGTTTGAGAGAGATACTAAGCACATCTCTGAATAATACTTCAGAAAGCCATTTAGGATCAATTGAGCTAAACGCGTCATTTATAGAAATATATAATGAAAAAGTTTTTGACTTGCTAAGTGATAAAACTACGGATCCAATCTCTTCTCGAGGTTAGTTTAAAAAATATTGCGTTTAAAATATAAAAAACTACTAGAAAATATTACTTTACTTTACTTTATTTTAGGATACAAATATACGGGTGGCACTCGAAAGGTTCTCAAATCTTTAGAAGATTGCTATAGTGTTCTACTCCACGGTAACAAGAATAGACATGTGAGACCGACCAAAATGAATTTACAAAGTTCAAGATCACATGCAATTTTTACAATTCATATAAATACTTTTTCTGGAAATGGTGTTCTCAATACCAGGTTAAATTTAGTAGATTTAGCTGGTTCAGAGGGTGTGCGCAGAACAGGTCATCAAGGAATGGCGATGTCAGAAGGAGTCAACATAAATCAAGGTCTTTTATCTATTGGTAAAGTTTTACAGGCTAAAGCGCTTGGGCATAAAGTCGTACCATATCGTGATAGTGTATTGACTACAGTTTTACAAGGTAATATATAATAAACCGCTATAAGGTATATAACTGTATAATAATTACTTTTCAGATTCGCTCAATGATAACTCATATTTAACACTTTTGGCTTGCATTAGTCCTCATCGTTCAGATCTATCTGAGACCTTATCAACTCTTCGTTTTGCCCAAAGTGTGAAACAATTGAAACACTCACCGCACATAAATTTTATAGTAACAGATATAAAGGTAACTGTTCTATATTAATATAAAATAAGTTTAGATTTAAAAATGATTTTGAATGAAGCATTAACGTATATATCCAAAATTAATGCAATCAATGATAACGTCGCGCATTCGCTGGCTGTACTCCTGTAAATTTCCTTCGCATAGAAGACCAGAGTCTTTTAAATTTTTCAGTTTTCCAATTTCTGCCTGCTCGCTAAGAGTTTCAAGGTTGGGCACATCTTCACTTTTTAATGTTATAATTGGTAGCACAATCATTGCAAAAAGTAGAGCAACAGCCCCTCTATTTTTTAATTCCTCGTCGAATTTTTCTCGGGGAAACAATTTAAATGGATTGGATCCAAGTCTATGTAGAAAACTTTTTATTATGGTTGCTAGAACTTTCTAGTAAAAAATAGAATTGGTCCTACCTGCTGATGTGGCTAATTAATTCCTCATAGTAAACATTTAGAACATCTCCGTAATGAGTTTTTCTGAAATTTCTTGTAGTACAGGTGAAAATAAAGTACATCAGATCGCTAATTGGAGACGAGTATCGCAACAGTTGCCAATCCAACAAACGCATTGTGACGACACCGGTGTCCTTTCATATCCCACATTAGAATAAGTTATTTATCTTTGTGATAATTGTCGTAAACATTATTTACCTCCATTTTAAACATTAAATTATTGTTCCAGCAGTCTCCATGACATAATACTGCATATGGTTCGTATTTGTTACCATCAATAAAATCCGAAAAAATTTCAAAAAATGGACGCTTAAAAAATTCGCCCACGATTTGCCTATACTTATCACTTTCCTGTTCCAAACATGCCAGCGCAGTCCTTTTTAGTCCCTCAAAATAAATATTTAAATTTGAAACATCCTTGTGTTGCAGAAAAATGTCTTCAATTTTTCGAAATTTATCTAAAGCTTTAGGCTGCTGGTCCTTAACGGCAAAAGAGACTGCATGTAATTTTGCATATGTTCGCATTACTATTGCAATATGTTCAAATTGGAAATAATCGAAGCGGTCAAACACCCCAAACTCTTGTAAACTTAAGTCCTCCAAAAATACTACTTCCTCGAATTCATCTGTTGAAGTGTAAAGACACTTAGCATACTCATGAAAGCAGTATTCTTCCGCTAGTCCTTTATTGCGTTGAAATTTATCAATCATTGGTAAGAACTAAGAAAAATAAGACAATTTTTAATTAATTTATTTTCTGTAAAATATTTTGTACTACCTCCTCATAAGCAAGAGCTTCCCTCAGAAAACAGGGCCTGATAAAGAATTGCTTACGTCTTGTGGAATTTCTTGGTGCCATTTTAAGAATTATATTAGAAAGACGAACGCCGCAACTTGTATTTAATTTAACTGAAACGCGATACACAATTCCTATGTAGTTTTCACCTTTTTTAGTGGCTGGCAACAGTTCATAAGTAAACGATTTCGATGAAAATTGTCTTTCCAAGAGCTGTTGAAGTGCCGTCAGGACTTTACTGCTCGGATAGTCACACTCTTGTCTGCGCGTTTTTGCACTGGCGTTATCCATTTTGAACTAAATCTGACACTTCACTTACAGATTTAATATATAAATGCCTTGCCACGATAATTGATCACATCTTATTGCAACCCACAATATTTGATATCATATTTTGCGGTCTTAAGTATATCAAAATGAACAAACATAAAAGTAAGGAAGGGCTAAAGTTGCGCAGCCGAACTTCATACACATGCCAGCCATCTTTTACTAGGTAGAGAGAAAAATAGATTAAAAAGTTAAAGTAGAACATATGTAGTAATACATGTTTTTATTATTCCTTTGGTTTGTTATTAGTACAAGGGCGTTTACAGTTGAAGTGGAAATTTACGATTGAAATTCATTTAATTTACTTGCATATGCAATATTGTTGCTCTTATAGAAAAATCGATTGAAAACTCCAAAGAGACCCGTCATGACACCAGTACCTACCAAGCCACAATTTTCTAAAAATACCATTAACATGGGAATAAAGGTTTTAAAACCCATTTATCATAGTAACACATTTTGTACTCCGAGCAAGTTGAAAAGATACGCTAATGCCGATAAACTGAACCGTTCGGAAATTGGTTTAACACCCAAGCAAAAGGAAAAGTATGTAAATTAATTCAATAACTTAAAATTCATGTTTCATTTTAAATACAAATTTTACATCTTTAGAGAGCAAAGAGGTCTTTTTCAGTCTTGTGTCTCTGAACTTCCTATAGTGCACTCAAAATTGATACAAACCAATCGAGAATCAACCATTACAATGGACAAATCCCTCGATTCTCGAGCTTCGATTATGAGTTTGAATGTGTCATCATCAACAGTGGTAGGGAATGATGGGACCGAATCAAGTAAAGTCATAAGGTATATATATTCTAAATGTTGAATGTAATATATGTATATACTATATACCCATTTTTGTGTTCAATAATAGCTACAGTCCCGTCGTGCGAAAGTGTATGGTAGAAATAGAAAACGTGATGGATAGCAAGATGTCACAATTAATGGAAACTTTAAAAGATATAAATAGGGATAATATTCAACATCGATCTGAAATCATGGCCACTCCATGGCCAAGTACGGGTGATTCAGTTAGTGCAGGACCACTTCCACTTGCACTCCGTAATGAATTAAAGTATATTATACAAGAAGTATTAAAAGAAAATGTCAAATCAAATACCAAAATTTCGGATGATGCAAATAGATCCGAGTCAATATTGTTAGATTCTTCTCTTTTAAGGAATGATCCTAAATGTCAACTGGTAATTTTTATATCGACATTGTTTATTAATACTTATAATGAATATTTATATGTTTTTAGTTTGCTACAAGTAGTCCAGTTTTCAAAGTCCCATCTGCACCTAATAAAGAATTAAATAGTTCTGCAAAGCAGATGTCTCCGAAATTAATGGAAATCGATGAAGAAGCTAAACGTTATAAAACTGCAATAAGACGATCTAAGCGTATTTCTGCAGTAAAGGGGGAAGTGGTATTACACAGTTCATTTAATGATTTAAGAGGACAAAGTTGTATTAATAAAGCATTACGACGTTCTAGTCGCATTTCGAAAATTGGGGAACAAACTGAATTGCAGAGAGTAAACGCTTCTTCTATGATAACGCTAAGCTCAATGCCACGAAAAAAAAATGTGTCACATATTGAAAGACGGAAAGAGAAGGATGGAAATGGACGAACCAAACAAGTCTCTAAATCACACAACAATGCTAGTCATCGTAAATCGTTCTTAAACAACAATATAATTGAGAGTTACTTTAGCACTGACCCGCAAAAGTCAAGTTCGCACATCAACGAAAAAGAAAAGAAATCGAATATTTTGAAACATCGAGCGGCAGTACTAAATTTATTAAATTCTGGCTCTATGAAAGAATTGCAGGTACTGCCCCAGATAGGTCAAAAAACGGCATATCAATTGGTAACTCAGAGGTATGTATTCTTTTAAGTATGCCATTTATAATATTTATCTAGGAATTTACAGAACATTGAACGGAAAATTTAAAAATATATCACAACTTGAAAAACTCACAATATGGCGTGGAAGCTCATGGACACGTTTTGCGCAAGTACGTAAATTACACGCAAAATTATGCCAAAAATATAATATATTATTCATGATTTACAGGCTAATTTGCTCATTGATTAAAACGACTTCCGACATTTTCTTCATTTAAAGCAATATTTATTTAAAATCTCATATTATTTAGTAATGTAACTAATTACGTTTTTTTGTAATATTATATTCATAAAATGTTCGTATTAAATTAAAAATATTGTACAAAAAAAAAAAAAAAACGTGGATTATTATGTACATATGTATCTATCAGGTGGATTTTTAGAGGTTTTATAGTTATAATTTGTACCCAGTTTTTGAACACATTAAGTCTTGTTGTGTATTTACACGAGTCTGTTAGATTCAGGTAACGCATCCCAACATTTGTATTTTAGATGTTTTGAGAGTATGAATAGTATGAACAGCTCTAATCGAATCGTTATTCTGCAAATGCCTTGTGAAACATACTATTTACTTCGGAATTTCGGAAGTGAAGCAATTTCATGCATTTACAATGAATCTTCATGCTGTCTATAGATTCCATATGAAAGAATTGCCAAAAAATTAAACCCATAAGTAATATCTGCTCTGTGTGCCATGTGAATGAGAGCTGATTCGCCAGTAAATATAAAACTCGTATATCAATAATGACTAGTATACTGACAACTAGACTTTGTTATCGTTCTAAAATACGGATAAAAAATCACACGTAAAAAGTAAATTATAAAATATTATATAACCTTATTCGTTTGTAAATATAAATTCATTTATTTTATGCAGATGTGTTTTTAGTAAGGACATTAATGAAGACGTTGATTTATTTAACTAAAGTTCTCAATTAAATGCAAATTGTAGTTAATATTGTCATATTGTCACCAGCTACCCAACCCAACACAGACAGCAAAGTGAGCGCTTTACTCATAGCCTTATATAAAATACATTAAAAAGGTCATAAGTATTTGTAACGATGAAGTCTACATACATGGTATGTATGCATATCTTTGGGGGCTGGTGCGTATACATTTTTAAACAAACACATACATATACATGTATATATGTAAGCGTTTTAGTTATTTGTACTTTATCACAATAATTTATTATGCGTAGTGAACCAAGCAAATAATCTGGCGAATGAACAACATACTTTAAGATTGCAAAGGAAAAGCAATGAAGAGATAAGACCGACAACAAAACGAAAACACAAATGAAAACATTCGATCAGCCGGCTTTCGCAGGTGCCGCTAACTTCGTTTTTTGCGTTGCTCGTGCGGTCGTTTATACTGGTGCGCCAGCGTAGCCCGTTTAAAAGTCATCCGACGCTTATTAAATAGTTGTCACTTTCAAATGCAGCTCAGTTTACTTTAAAAACCGATCAAAGACGGAAAGGTTGAATTATTAAAAGTTAAACAGTAACTTGAAGCCCTCTAGTTTAGTTTTGCATAAAGCGTTTACTAATAATTTTGCTTTGAAACCAAAAAGGGCGAAAATGCAGCCAGTAAAATTTTATTTTAGTTTTTTGGATCAGTCGAGTCGTGCATTATATATATTATTGGAAGCATCGAAAATACCTTTCGAAGCGATACCTATATCAATACTTAAAGGCAAGCAACAAAAATACTACTAATTGCCGATAACACGAAATATTTATTACATTAATATTTGAACTAAATAATACGAGTATAATGTGATACAGTTCGTTTTCGTCGATTATTTATGTGGCCTAAAATTATGAATATTCAAAAAAAAAAAAAAAAAAAAATACACAAAGTATTTGCCTAGTATATAATATACATATATACAATATGCATACATTAAAAACTAATGCAAACGTTTTTAGAGTGTATGTAAATTTGTTTTGTCGAATAGAACTAAAAGTCATAGTATTATTCTAGTCACCAAGAGTTTCATTAGTATAGGTATTGTTTATAAATATGTGCTGTATATACATATGTATTTATTAAAGTGGATTTGAGAAAATGCAACTGTTTCTGCTTATGGTAAATAATGTATCGCGCACTTTAACAATGTTGATCAGAATACAGTTGGTGGTCCTAAAAAAATATAACGTCATTTTACATTGCATTAGATAAGTTTTTATCTGTTTAAATTTCGCAAAAGCTAAATTGATATTGATATTGTTTATGTACCAGAACAAGATTCAAAGGTTGTATATGTACACATATGTACATAAGTATAAAAAAAAAAAATTCTCAAAAGTGCTATAATTCATACTGTCAAAATAAGCCGTTTCGTTCTGTTTTTATGATTAAAAAAAATTTTTTTTAAAGATTTCAATTAATGTTTTTTTGATATGTTGATGTTTTTGAGTGATAACTGAATTCGAATTAATTGTAGAACATAAAAAATTATCGAATTGTAAACAAGAAATTCATGAAAGAAACATAAACGGTTTTTTTATGTTAAAGATTAAAAATTCTTTTCGCAAAAATTCTAACACAACCTTATATACGTATGTAAAAATAATTTACTTATGAAAATGTGTACATACATATACCTATTATATGAAAAAAAAACTTCCTGAATTACACACTCTTTGGTGGATTTTTACTGCACATTCATCTATAACAGCATATAAACACTACGTATATGCAAATGTATATACATATATACATTTTATGTTGATCATATTCAAAAGATAATTACAAATAAATTTTCCAAATGATCAAAGTATAATGTGGTTATAATAAAATCGTATGAAACCATCCCACCTGCGCATAGCTGAATATAACAAATCCATAAGTAGTCAACTAAATTTGACACATTTAAGTAAATAAAATTTATCTCATGTTGATTTTGACTTGTGTGAATGAATATTTCTTTTAATCAGCTTATGTTTAAATAACATATGCATGTATGTTTATGTATGATCGACACAGAGTGAAGACTACGTGACTTCATACATATACATACATGCATCTGTCCAGTTATTGTTCAAGTCAACCACATCTCGAAATATAATCAAATTTCAAGAAATTTGTTAATTTTATTCTTTCTATCTACTTTATTCTAATCAATTCTTCAACTAATACTCAGTTTAGTTGCATACCAATAATATAACTTCTTATCGCTGATTTAAACTTCAAAATATATTTAAATATGCATTCATTCTCTTAAGATCAATTTTTAAATTCTTAAACACACCCATATGAATGTACATACATATATGAAATTTAATATACATATGTACACATAAGTATATTTTAACTCACGCAAATAACTCGTGAACTGATAAATTATAATATCAACAAGATTAAATTAGCTTTTCATTTGACATTTTTAGCCGAAAAGTAAACAAATCGAACATACATACCTGCATACATACACATGTTTATTTCACCATGTACATACATATAAATATTGTTCCACTTACGTCTATGAATTTTATAAATGTACTCGAGTGTTAATTTCTTTAATCGAAATAGTATAATGATATCAGAGTAGGTTAAGTATATGACCACTGAAATGTAGATTGAAGTTGCAGTTCTGCAATAATCGAAAATTATGCAAAAGTGCTAGCAGTGGACATTGTGTAACGGTTTATGGTCCGTTTTACTATATCGTTAATGTCGATTTTACTGCCCATAAAATTTCTAGCGGGTTAAAGTCTTCAAGACAGGGTTGTAAACAATCCAATTAATTTTTGAGTACGTTTAAGAAATGTCAAATAAGCTCACCATACATACATATATTTTCATTAGCAGAAAGTAGTAATTTAGTTTTTGTTAAGCTATTTATAACACTACACTTCATAAATTCTATCTCCGAATGCCCACAAATGTATATACATATCTCTGTCACTTGTTCCTAAATATGTAAAAACTTAAACCTGCATTAAACAGGCTCATAGAAATAATTTGTATTAGTTCAGCAATGTATCCTCACCAAAACAAGTAGTTTTAAGTACTGTTTTATTTTTGTTGCAGGTGAACATTTAACTGGCGAATTTCGTGACAAAGTAAGTCAATTCAAGTGCTTGCCTGTAATAAATGATGAGAACTTATCTTTGGTTGGGAGTATAACTATATTTCGACATCTAAATCGGGAAAAAATTGTACCGGAGCACTGGTATCCACGACGCAATTATGGTCGCAGTCGTATCGATGAATTCCTTGAATGGCAACAGCGTAATACCGCAATGGCATGCGGTAATTACTTTCAACAAAAGTGGCTTTCACCTATTTTAAACAAGGCATCTCCTGACGACAAAAATGTACGTTAACGTATGTATGAACCTAATTACATATGTAAAATGGTCTGTCCGTTATAGAATATTTAGTGATTTGCTGAACAACTGCTATATATTATATACATACAACAGATTTCCGCCATTCTTCTGCCTGTTGATTATTTTCTTGCAACATTTTGCTGCAGAGTATAGTAGTTTTGTTTACCTAATATTGTTTATATCAACTAAAACTATATATGTAAATATACTTATATTCCATAATGATGATTGAGTAAAAATTGAGATATCCTAATGAAATTTGTACCCGTGTTTTTAAGGTCGCATTCGTAAATGGGCGTAATCGGACCGCCGCCACGTCCACAAAACGCAATTCTTTAATATATATATCTTCTAAAACACTTAAGCTACAATAACTATCCAAATTGGCCCAAAACTGTTCATGACTCCAGGTACTGCTTCCTATTGCGAATCTGAGATTATTATAAAACACTGAGAGAAGTTCTTTCTGATTAAAATGGTCGTATGTAAAAAATGGGATGAATCGGACCAATAATTCTCTTAGTCCCCATATAACTAATGGAAAGATTTTCCAACTTCCGGCTAAATATCTAACATCGGGTTAACTTTTTACCCCATATATTAGTGAGAGTATATTATGTGAGATACCTTAATAAAACTTAGATAGCATCAATTTTGGTTAGCGATGTGTGGTATTGTCAAGAAAATAGACAAAGTCGGCTCAATACTGCCTCTATCTCTCATATAGGTACCTAATATAGGAATTTCGAACTCGTCTTGTCATCATAATCATTTAAGATTAATCATAAGAATATTATACTCATATTCTCCTTTTTTATGTTATTTGTAGATCAGTGTCTTAACAGAATGTCTAAATCAAAATTTGAAGAACTTTGAAAACCACTTTCTAAATAAAAACAAGTTTGTAATTGGTGAAAACATTTCTTATGCTGATGTGATGGCAATTTGCGAAATCGATCAACCAAGTAAGTTATTTCTCAAAATCAAA